CAATGTGCCACTGAGCGGATCAGGGCTTCACCACAAATAGTTTTTTAGAAGAACTGGAGATTGTTCTAAATCCCATGCTATCTTTTTTTTAAAGTTCTTTGGGCTTGACCTTTTAAAATTTCCAATCAACAGAATTTTCTTGGAAGACATAGTGAGACTCTCAGAAAAGCCACTTTCACCATCTAAGGGCTGAGTTTTCTTTGTAAATTCCCTAGTCATTTTCATTTCTGTCTTGTTTTCAGTCTTATCCTCCCATGTACGACCAGTATCACTGTGACACTATACTGGTATTTTTGAGAGGAAACACAGAGGTGAGCAACATTAGGCTTCTAGTTGCTCATATGGAAACAATACTAATTAGTAAGAATACACGAGCCCTAACCGGTTTGGCTCAGGGGATAGAGCATCGGCCTGCAGACTCAAGGGTCCAAGGTTCGATTCCGGCCGAGGGCATGTACCTTAGTTGCGGGCACATACCCAGTAGGGGTGTGCAGGAGGCAGCTGATCGATGTTTCTCATCGATGTTTCTAACTCTCTATCCTTTTGCCTTCCTCTCTGTAAAAAAATCAATAAAATATATTTTAAAAAAATAAGAATAAACTCTGTGTTTCCACTGTAGACCTACTTTGGCCCACCCCCGTATAGGACACCTTCACTCTCTGCATCGCCTTCTGACTTGCCTAACAGTGCCAGCCCATCACCAGCCACACCTTGACACCAACATTTCCAACGACTGCTGTTCACTATGTGGACCCCAGAATTAACAGATCCCAGAGCTGGAAAGACTGCAAGGGCTCAGGCCATTTAAACCGAGCAAGGTCTTCCTTAAGTCACCATAGTCCAGAACAGGCAGCCAAGCTTCAGAAGAATTTAAACTCGCCAAAGGTTACCTCACTTCGAACAGCGGTGTCTGCGGCACAGGAGAGCATTTTCCCGTGGATCCTCCTCCAGAGCAACACCTGCCTCCTCATGGCTGCACGGTAACAGCCTGCTCATTTGTGTTTCATTCGGGGCCTCTCCGAGCCCCTTGGCTTTCCCTTTCTGATGCTCCTCCCTTCCGTGGCCCCCCGCACGGCCTGGGCCCCACCCCTCCAGCTTCTCCTGAGCTTCTAGGTCACCTCTTCCCCCTCAGCACAGCCTAAACACAGGTGTCCTCAAACTCTCATCTTAACCCTGTTTCCCAAACCCACGTTCTCACTGCTTCTCAGCTACTAGCAATCCTCTCTAATCTCACTTCCCTTTAAGCCAGCCCACACGCTGCAACTGGCAGGAGCTCGGAAAGCCCAGCTCTCGCTGTGTCATCTCCGGTGGCTTTCGCTTTCTGCCACATCAACTAAAACTCCTGAGCCTGGACTGCAGACATCTGTGAGTTAGTGCTTTCATCTTCTCATCCTCTTCTTTTATTTTTTTAAATATATTTTATTGATTTTTTTTTTTTTTTACAGAGAGGAAGGGAGAGAGATAGAGAGCCAGAAACGTCGATGAGAGAGAAACATCGACCAGCCGCCTCTTGCACATCCCCGGGGTGTGCCCGCAGCCAACGTACATGCCCTTGACCGGAATCGAACCCGGGACCTTTCAGTACGCAGACCGATGCTCTACCACTGAGCCAAACCGGTTTCGGCTCATCCTCTTCTTTGCTCAGTTTCTCCTCTGAAAGAAGCAGCACGATGAGGTGTTAAGGTTGCCCACCGGCTATCAGCCCTCCTAGGTTTGAGTCTCAGCTCTACCGCAGTACAACCCTGGGAGGCTGCTTCACCTCTTTATGCCTCAGTTGCCTCTCCTGTGAAAGGGGAATAATGGTGCTACCTAATAGGGCTGTTGTAAGTAGTACATGTAAAGCACCCAGGTCCATGTTTGGTACATGGTAAGGACTCCCATAATCTTGTTTTAAGTCTTCTATTAAAACAAAGGAAGTAAAAAATAAAATAAAGTAAAACTAAGGAAGTATTAGCTGCCCATACACCAAGCCTCACTAAAAAACATCCTTCATCACATGTGGGAAAGACCCTACAGAATGCATGGCATCGTGTGAATAACAGCTTCCAAACACTGAGCTGCCACTACAGTGCGGGCTTTCATTCTGCACATGCATTTCAACATTTCAAAGTATCTGTGATGGGATACGTGGAAATGTTACTCATTTTCTTCTGAATATAAAATGAAAGGCACTCAAGTTAGTAATAATTCACTCGCAAAACTCATCTTAGAATTAGACTATTTCTGGCTCTAGAAGCCACACCCTTTTATGCTTTTCATAATAAAAGTGTTCTGGATCTTCATACAAACAAACAAATAACCCAGGTTTGTAATCAGCATATCAAATTGAAGCAAGAAATAGAATCCAGAACTCTACAAATAATCGGACTTGAAGAAGAGGTTTTATCTTTCACTCTTATTTGGATCCATTATGTTGAGAAGGATTCAAATACTATGTTCTGGGCTCAGAAGCAAATCCCAGGGAGAGTGAGCCAATGTCTAACAAGGTAAGGAGAGCTGGGTGTTCACTGGCCCTGGACTAGAGAATGGGGGCAGAAGAATAACTACTGCCATGCAAGGCAAGGAAAAGAGTGTAAATTTTCTGAACACCATGTGACAAAACTATTTGAGATGCTTTAAATGTATAATTATTTTAATCCTCAAAACCACCCTTTAAGAAAGGCACTAGTTGTCATCCCTACCATACGGATGAAGACACTAAAGCCCAGAGAAGTTATAATGAACCTAAGAACATCCAAGAAGTAAGCGGCTGGCATTTGATCCAGCACACACCAGAACCCATGCTTGTCACCATCCTATATAATCAAAGGCTAATATGCAAATAGACCCAACGGTGGAACAACTGGTTGCTATGATATGCACTGACCACCAGGGTGCAGATGCTCAATAGCTGCCCCTGGTGGTCAGTGTGCTCCCACAAGGGGAGCTCAGCTCAGCCAGAAGCTCATGACTAACAAGTGCAGTGGCAGTGATGGCAGCCTCTCTCACCTCCATGGCAGTGCTAAGGATGTCCAACTGATGGCTTAGGCCTGCTCTCTTGGACTGCAAGAGGGCACAGGTGGGTGCAGGCCAGGGTGAGGAACTGAGTGCACAATTTTTGTGCACCAGGCCCCTAGTCTTATCTAATAAAAAGAATATGCAAATTGACCATCACAGTATAACAGTCAAGATGGCTGAGTCCACAGCAGAGGCCAAGTTCTGATAATGAGCTTTAATGAGCAATCATCAGGGACCTGAAGCTATGCCTCCCGCCTGGAGGGGCTTGACAGGGATCTCAGGCCGTGCCCCCAACCCCAGCACCAGGCTGGAGGACTTGAGGCCGTGCCCCTTGCCCCAGTGCCAAGCCAGGGGACTGAAGGCTGAGCGCCTGCCATGCAGGGCTTCATGGGTAACCTCAGGCCACTCCCCTACCCACAGGGCTTGACGGAGGGCATCAAGGTGCACCCCATCCCCAGTGGGGCTTGAGAGGCATCTCAATGTGTGTCCCCTGTCCCAACCTGGGCCAGGGCACCTCAGGCCATGCACCCTGCCCCGAGACCTAAGGCTGTGCCCTCCACCCTACAAGGCCTGACCGGGGCCCTGAGGTTATGCCCCCCACCCAGCAGGGCTTGATGGAGGACCTGAGGCTGTATCCCCTGCTCAGCAGGGCTTGACAAGGGTGGGGCCGGCTGGGTCTTGATCTCACCAATGGGGTAGGGCCAGCTGGGTCTGTGTCTCACGTGGTTTTGAGGTGCTGTGGGTGGGCAGGGACTTGACTCTGGGTCCCACAGCACACCCCAGACTCTGACAGGAGGTTTTCATATACATTTTTACTAATTTTCTTTCATCTCTGACACTTCTATTATAGAGAAAGAGCAAATAGCAATATTAAAATATTTCCTCTAATTAATCCCCTTTTAATGTGCACAAATTTCATGCACCGGGCCACTAGTTATGTTAGAAAGACTAAAATATTTCCATGTTCCTGATGCCAGGAGATGGAATGGCTGGCAGGAAAGGCAGTTTCACAAATCACCAAGATGATTTCAGCCCCAGTTCCACTACAGTAAGATGCTTCTGGCAGTGAGAAACCTGAAGACCCAGCCCTCCCTCCATCCCGGTTCAGTCTTAGGAGTTCTGAAGCCCAGTGGCTCGAGACACTGGGGGAGGGCTTTGAAACCACTCATGAATAATTTTGGTTTGAAAAACGAAGAGATCAAGAGAATCTCCAGAACTAAATCCCAAAATCATTATAAATGTCCACATTCGCCAGTACCACTAACGCATCAAGTTCTCAGTCAGAAAGTACCCTTCCTAAAAGGATTTTCAAATGAAACAAATCTGCCACTAGATTAACTGTTCTCTGATGAATCTTAAACCAGAAAGACTCTATGGATTCATGGATAAAACACCGTGCTAATTCCTGGTGGACATTTGAGCTTCAGAGCTTTCTCAGAATGTTTGTAAGATGAGGTTCCAGGAATACTAAGGAAAATATGCCCAAAAATCACATTAAGGGACTTTAATAAACTTATTATGAATTGTAGTATTTAAAGATAGAGAGAGAATTCAAGGTCATCCTATTGAGAAAACAAGGCACAGAGTGGTTAAGCAACTTGCCCAAAGCCACACAGCTTGTTAACAGCAGTTTCTACAATAGTTGTGATGCATGTAATGTTATAGTTTCAACTTCAGAGTTTTCTTAATTTTTTACTTCCAGATTGGTTTAAAACATCCCCAAGGAAGACCCCTTCATTATTGAGAAAAAAAGTAGTATTTAAAACTTCCCTAGCTCAACTTTTGGGTATGCTGAAGAGACACTGGTTATATTAACATGAGACACTGGCCTCGTTTAGACTCGTAAGAGGTAAGTTAACAGGCAGGCCTACCTAGACAAAGCAGGGGCTATTTTAAAGTCACCTGCTAGAGATGGAAACATTGTCCCATTGCATAAGAACGTTTCCACTGTTCAAACTCCCATCTGAAAAGTCTGAGCCAGCGGCAGTGTTGCCTTTGCTTACCTGCACTCTTAAGGAATCCGTTTCCCACAGGTCCTCTGGTCCTTACGGCCGAGAATGCGGGAAGGCTGCTGGAGCTTCAGGCAGCTGTCTGCCCAATCGCCGTACCACCAGCAATTTTCCAAGACAAAGGCCGCGCTGCTCCTTCACGTGTGAGTCCTGAAATGAAGCACAAAGGTGGCATGCGTGTAAGAATGGCTCGTTACCTGAGAACATCTTTAATCCATGAAGAACATTTTAATGAAGATTATTTTAGCAAGCTCACTCCTGACCTGTCCCCAAAATACTTGACAGGATGATGAAATTGCCACAAAAAAAAAAAAAGTATAATAAATAAATCCAACAGCACACCCGGCAGCACCTATGGCATTACTGTCGTTCATGGCTGGTTATCCACAGGATCCAGCTCCGTCCCCTTGAAAAAAAAATAACATATCCAGCTCAATTAACCCAAAGCAGCCTGGGAATGAAAGGCCCATCTGTCTCATTTTCCAGCTTCGCTCCGCACACACACAGCTTTATTGTTCCATGCGAAGGTGAGAGAAGGAGCTGTGGCTCTGAAAACCCTCTGAAGCGGGATCGGGAGGAGAGCGGGGAATGAGGAGGAGGTAAGAGGAGTAAAACAGCAGGAAGAAATTCGGGGAAAGAAAGCGAGAGGGATTTAGTAAAAACTGCAGCTAGTTTAAGAATGTGCTGTGGCCACTTTCTCAAAAAATTATTTTTAAAAAGAATCTTAAAATACTCCTGTTGTAGCTTTTCTTACATTGTTTCAGCTTTTCTTACATAACCCCGATACAAAAAAAGCTGCACCCCTGTACTTCCTGTTTAGTAGAAAATGTTATTTTTTAAGAAGATATATTGATTAAAAAAAAATGTGCAAACCTACAAAAATATGCCACATACTTTATTTCAGAAGCCACCCATGAACTCTAATGTCCTACAGATAGAAATAGGAATGCTTTATTATGAAATTCACAGAGTAATACGAAGAAAAAAAATGGTGAGATTCTACCAAGCAAGGAAAGAAACATTTTAAAAGCCGAGTACTCTAAGGTTATTTCTGCGTGTTCAATGCGCGTGCGAACACATTGCTGAAAGCCGTTAGAGAACAATGAAATCAGGTGATGTGCTGAGTTGTGGATTAAAGATAATTTTTTTCTTAAAAGTCTTTTATTAAAAATTTTTTCTTTAATCTTAATATAGAATGCAATTCTTAAGACTAAAATCTTAAATCTTAAACTGTATAGAGGCAGAAAATGCTTATTTTTATATGTTCCTGCGTGCCTTTCACTTCTGAAGTGCTAAGTAGTTGGCACATTTACAAATTAGAAGGCAGGCAGTGGCACTCTTTAGTGGCTATTATTGTAATAGAAGTCTCCTCCATGAGACAGAATTGTGAACTTAAGGAAATTATGGATAATGATAAGTTTGTGCCTCAGCAGCATTCTCCCTGAATGTATAGATATACAGCTCCTGAGTTTCTATCATCTCGTATCCACTACTACTTATTACTAGCTGATGTAAAGGTGCAATCACAATACTGAAGTTGAAAGGGCCCTTTAAGATTTTCTAGTCTACATAAGTGAATAAAGAAACCTTGATGTTGTAACAGGAACAACTGGGGGAATGGGAATTTAATTATATCTGGAAAAGCTTAAATAAAGGGAAGAAATAAGAGAGCCCATTCTTGTGTTTAAAGCTATTTTAAAAAATATATTTTATTGATTTTTTACAGAGAGGAAGGGATAGAGAGTTAGAAACATCGATGAGAGAGAAACATCGATCAGCTGCCTCCTGCACACCTCCTACTGGGGATGTGCCTGCAACCAAGGTACATGCCCTTGACAGGAATCAAACCTGGGACCTCTCAGGCCAACACTCAGTCAACTAAGCCAAACCGGTTAGGGCCCAGTCTTGTGTTCAGATGACCTTCCTCAAGAAGAGGCATTGGCCAGGCTCTGAGATTACCAGTGGGTAAGCCATGTCCCTTGAATGTAACATTCAAAGAGTTAGGTTTGAGTTTGGTACGGAAGAACCTGCCAATGAGAAGGCTAACCCCTATTTTGTAAAACTACTGTTTGAAATTCTCTGCTATTTAGATATCCCTTATTCTGTCAAGTCAACTCTGCTATTTTTTAGACAGTCTCCTATTCTGGAAAAAATAACTTTGCTTTCTAGCCTGCTTTAGCCTGCTTGAATAATAAGGAAGATAAACTTAGCTGTCTGACCTTCTAGGCCAGAGACTAGATGTGCCCATACTCTCAAAACCATGTGCCCATACTCTCAAAACCATGCCAGATATATTTTTTAATTGGATAGAACTGTGTTGTTTTTGAGGCCACAAGCTTCCAGCGAGATAACCACTAAGCACACATAGGGCTGGAACTTAAAAAAAAAAAGAAAAATTCTGCTTGTTGCTCTGCCTAAAATTTGAATTCATTTTTCTCTAAGCCCACTGGTGTATATTAAAGTGTAACTCCAAACTCTAAGCATTGCTTGTTTTTCCCCCCTAGTCTTCTGCAACACTAATATTTAGGTTGCCTAAAGACACTGCATGCTGCATTGCTGGATAAGGAGTCACTTGTTACTAAAGATATGCTGTTCTGAAAGCCACTGGGGCTCTGGCTAGTGGCCCAGGTGGTTGGAGCATCATCCTGTGCACTGGAAGGTTGCTGGTTCGATTCTCTGTCAGGGTACATACCAACGTTGCAGATTCAATCCCCAGTTGGGGTATGTACAGGAGGGAACCAATCAATGTTTCTCTCATACATCAATGTTTCTCTTTCTCCCTTCCCCCTCTCTAAAATCAGTAAAACATATCCTCAAGTAAGAATAAAAGAAACAACACTTGGGGATTTACCAGTGCTTACTAAACTTTTTAATGTTTATTGGCTTCACTTGAGCATCTTGTTAAACTTCTGATTCTGGCCCTACCTGGTGGTTCAATGGTTAAAGCAGCTGCCCACAGTGGCACATTTGATTCCAGTAGAGGGCACTACCTCAGTGCAGGCTTGACCCCCAGCCCGGGTGGTCTGGGAGTATGCAGGAGGCAACCAAAGGATGTTTCTCTTTCACATCAATGTTTCTCTGTGTGTGTCTCTTCCACCCTCTGTAAACATCAATGGGGGGGAAAATAACCTTGGATGAGGATTAACTAACTAACTATCTTAATTAATTAATTAATTAATTAATTCCGATTCTGATTCAGTAGGTTTGGGCAGTGCCTGGGAATCTGCATTTCTAGCAAGCTCCCAGGTGATGCCAGTGCTGTGGGTCAAGACTGTGGATCAGTCAAGAATGCAGCTTAATTACAAGCATTAAAACGTTATTGAAACCAGTGTTTCCCAAAGCATATAAAGTCTTCTGGCCACATGATTTCAAAAGTCCTCCTGATTATCCCTGATGTCTGGGCAGGTGTTTAATAAATAAGTGGTTATAAGCAGGGTTTTATGAGTCCACACATTCAAATCTCCAAAAAAGAGATGGTATCTTCGTATCTTGCAGTACACACTAGGTCATACTTCTGAGCAATAACCAATTTTGCACAATTCTAAAGAAGAGATATTTTACCTCCTTTTTAAAAAAAATGATGCTTTTACTCCAAGATTGGCATATAAATAAGCATGTTCTGATGAATAAATGAATGAACGAATATATGCATTCAAAATGCAATTATTTATGATGTCAGTATACTACAGTTAACGAGAAATAGGATGTAAAAAAATGTGGCTACAAAGTAATTTTTCCCAGTGATCTGTGTTATATAATCTCTAAAAGTCTCCCAAAGCTATAATTTATAGAGTTCTTTATCAATGTAGAGCCTTGCATTATTTTTCTAACCCTGGAATTTCACCTCCCTAGCACCCTTCTGAGTCATACAAATTCCTTCAATGAACAGAAAACCCCCATTTCTTGCTGGTTCTCCTCTCTCACTTAGTGAATAAATTCCTGCTTGCAATCAGTTCAAAATCCCATGTAATTTCTTTCCTAGATAAATATGCTAATATTTGAACACAAAGATTTCCTTCCCAGAGAAAATAAACATACAACTAAAGGGAACTAGTTTCCTGCCTTTGCTCCAACTCTGAAGGCCCCCCTTCCACTGGGTTTACTGTTTTCGTTTGCTTAAAAGTTAAGAGCGTTGTACCGATATGCCAAAGTTGTGAGGTCGGTCCCAGTCAGGGCACATACAAGAATCAATCAAAGAATGCATGGATCGGTGGAGCGACAAATTGTTCTCTTCCTCTCCCTCTCTAAAGTTAAAAATTAATAAATTATGTATTTTTAAAGTTGTAACATTCTATTTGACTTACAAAAGCCCCTTTTTAAAGTCCTGATTACTTCAGTTCATTCTGATTGAGCCTAGCTTATTCTGATTCCTGGGAAATATCATCTTCTGTTAGTCCCTCTCTTGCTATTTTAAAAAGAAAAAAAAAGCGTGAGTTAAGTGGAGTGCAAAATATCAGATAACCTGTTAACCGGGGAATTCCCTTTTTAATTGCGCAACATATAACGGGCGCGTACTCTTTCACTAGGACGTGTTAGTATGTTACGCCCGGAGGATGTAATTTCATATTATTATTTTCTTATTTATACTTAAAATAAATGAAAAGACTATGAAATATATTTTTTTCATTTATTTATATATAAAGCAGAAAGGAAAATACAAAATTACAAATAGAAAAGAATACCAACAAAAAAAATGGAAACATCCAATTAAAAAATTATAAATTTTACAAACAATTATAAAGATTACAAAAAACATATATTTTTTATTTCCATACACAATAAAAAATATATAAAAGTTAACAATTACAGAACAATAAACAGAAGCACACAAATAAAATAGAAATATTGAGTTTAAAAAATTAAAATATAGAGGTAAAAATTCAAAACTCAACTTCCGTGTGATATATTTTAAAACAATTGTTGATACAGCCAAAACCGGTTTGGCTCCGTGGATAGAGCGTCGGTCTGCGGACTGAAAGGTCCCAGGTTCAATTCCGGTTAAGGGCATGTACATTGGTTGCGGGCACATCCCTGATGGGGAGTGTGCAGGAGGCAGCTCGTTGATATATCTCTCTCATCGATATTTCTAACTCTCTATCCTTCTCCCTTCCTCTCTGTGAAAAATCAATAAAATATATTTTTAAAAAATA